CTTCCCAGCCTGGTGCAGGTCTACAATTTTGTTTCTGGTGTCCTTTGACAGCTCTTAAGGTGGTCCTCTGTAGCTCAGCTGGTAGAGCACAGCGCTTGTAACGCCAAGGTAGTGGGTTCGATCCCCGGGACCACCCATACACAAAAAAAATGTATGCACGCATGACTGTAAGTCGCTTTGGATAAAAGCGTCTGCTAAATGGCATATTATATTATATTATTATATATTTGGTCTTGGCCATAGTGGAGTTTGGAGTGTGACTGTTTGAGGTTGTGGACAGGTGTCCTTTTTATAACTGATAACAAGTTCAAACAAGGTGCCAATAATACAGGTAACGAGTGGAGGACAGAGGAGCCTCTTAAAGTAGAAGTTACAGGTCTGTGAGAGCCAGAAATCTTGCTTGTTTGTAGGTGACCAAATACTTATTTTCCCACCATAATTTTCAAATAAATTTCATTAAAATCCTACAATGTGATTTTCTGGATTTTTTTTTCTCAATTTGTCTGTCATAGTTGACGTGTACCTATGATGAAAATTACAGGCCTCTCTCATCTTTTTAAGTGGGAGAACTTGCACAATTGGTGGCTGACTAAATACTTTTTTTCCCCCACTGTATTTGCATACACATAACTAGAAAAGCATGAATTTAATACCATTCCTGCATTAAACAATGCAATTGAACATTTCTCATCACCCAATTCTATAACTTTTTTTTTTTTTTTTTTTACACAGGAAACCCTGTACAATCTCTTTTGCTGACTTTCCATCTAACATTACTTTTCAACATTTCTCAAATCTAATTACCTCTGGTATCAACTAAATTATAAGCCACCTCTTATGAAAACCCCCAATCTGTCATTGTTTAGATTACAGCAGATATACAGTGGGGGAGAACAAGTATTTGATACACTGCAAATTAATTACTTAAAAATCATACAATGTGATTTTCTGAAAAATTACAGACCTCTACATGCTTTGTAAGTAGGAAAACCTGCAAAATCGGCAGTGTATCAAATACTTGTTCTCCCCACTGTAGGTAACAGTCCTTTCTAAGTAGGCTACAAATAACACCAAACACATGCCGTAGTTGACTAGCATATATTGAATTTATCTCCATAGTATTAATATCCAATGTAGTGATTGACGTTCCTTAATGGAAACCCTAAATTGGCTTTGTACAATATTATATTAATTATGTCTCACCCATGACGTGTGTACGTTTGGGTGAGCAAGTTAATATATAATTATTATTCAAATTATTATTTTATGACGTCTCTAGCCTCTCATTCAAGATGGAAAATCCCCATCATCAAATATACTCCCAGCAGAACATTAAAAAACAAAACAGACTGTGATTTCCAGGACACTGCCCCTTTGTTTCTGGCCTCACTATCTCCAGAGAGTTGGCCCTCCCTTAAGTTTCTCTACCAATCTGCTCTTGGTAAACTGCAAACCTTTTATTGCTTCTGGTTTCATAGGGTAATTGCTTCTGAATACGGCCTATGATTAGTATTTGGGTATCACCTGTACTGGAATTACCCCTTTTATTAATCCGACGTCTGCTGGACCCCGGGGACCACAAATGCTCTGGAACTTATTTTAAGTCTGACTCCTGTTGTTCTGTCAACAGGTATTCCTCTCCTCAGTATCTGATATTCTCATCTAAATGTACTATCTGTGGATGGGCTGTGTTGATCGCCACTCACAATATTGACCCAATCAGTGATCCTCTTGCCCTTGGATACCCACTGGCCCATGTCTTTCCAGTCCTCTTGCTGGTCCTTGCTAGGGACACATGTGGGCTCCATCTTTCCCTGAACTTTGGGGCCCTAGTTCCAACTCCACTGCTGCGTGGGTGTTGTCATAGTGAAACCATTTCAAGGCTATAGTCCTTTCTGTGGTTTTAAATAATGCTTCCTCATAGATTGCATCTGGACCTGGGTGTTGGGGTTTATACCAGAGAGTACAGTGTAGGTCATCGGGGGACATTTTAGTGGGGCCTGGTACTACATCATCAGCAAGTTCCATCAAGGTCGGGGAATATCAGTTATTCCCCACCTTAACAAATCTTGACTATAACAATAACATGGCTCCCCTTCCCCCACAGACCACACATATTGTCTCTGACTATGTGTGTGCTTTCATTCCCGCTCTCAGTGGAAATGACGACCACATTCCAATTGAGTCATTACACATCACGTCCTAGTAAATTTACCGGACACAGCTTAGATATCAGGATGGGTATGGTTGCGCTCTCCTCCTGATTGTCCATGTTTTAGGGTTATTGGGGCTGATAAACCTTTCATAAATTGATGTCCAAGGCAGATCACACTATGATTTTCTCCCCATCAATCCTGACTCCATCTGGCTTGTCTGTTGGCACAGATTGCTGTCCTGCAGGCTCCCGTATCACAAAGGAATTTAATTTTCTTACCCATTACTGTCAATGTCAAATAAGGTTTATGTTCCTGTTGAAGTGCTAAGTCAATAGTAGCCAATTCAAACACCTCACAATTTGGATCAATGGGTTCCGTAGTCTCCCCCCTCACTAGAGTCTACTATTTCTCCCCTCAAGGACTAGTCAAGCCTTATCTTCCTCTTCCTCACGCTCAAAGCTGGGAAATAGACGTCTGTTAGGCTTCTCTGCTTTTTTCTTTCTTTCCTTTTCCTTGGGTTTGCATTGAAAAGAGTTATGGCCTGTCTTACCACAGTATCTGCATGGGGTCCTCACACTCTCTGGCGAAATGCCCTCCTTTGTTTACAGTTGAAGCACCGACCAGCCCCGCTGTAGCCTTCACTTTTCCCTGTGTTTCTGCCTTTACACGCTCTTTACATTTACATTTACATTTAAGTCATTTAGCAGACGCTCTTATCCAGAGCGACTTACCCAAAATTTGGTGCATTCACCCTATAGCCAGTGGGTTAACCACTTTACAATTTTTTTATTTATGTATTTTTTTTGGGGGGGGGGGGGCTAGACGGATTACTTCATCCTATCCCAGGTATTCCTTAAAGAGGTGGGGTTTCAAATGTCTCCGGAAGGTGGTGAGTGACTCCGCTGTCCTGGCATCGTGAGGGAGCTTGTTCCACCATTGGGGTGCCAGGCAGCGAACAGTTTTGACTGGTCTGAGCGGCA